TAAGAAGTAGAAAGTACAGGTATTTGTGTTCAACATGTAAGAAGTAGAAAGTACAGGTATTTGGGTTCAACATGTAAGAAGTAGAAAGTACAGGTATTAGTGTTCAAACATGTAAGAAGTAGAAAGTACAGGTATTTGTGTTCAAACATGTAAGAAGTAGAAAGTACAGGTATTTGTGTTCAACATGTAAGAAGTAGAAAGTACAGGTATTTGTGTTCAACATGTAAGAAGTAGAAAGTACAGGTATTTGTGTTCAACATGTAAGAAGTAGAAAGTACAGGTATTTGGGTTTAACATGTGAGAAGTAGAAAGTACAGGTATTAGTGTTCAAACATGTAAGAAGTAGAAAGTACAGGTATTTGTGTTCAACATGTAAGAAGTAGAAAGTACAGGTATTAGTGTTCAAACATGTAAGAAGTAGAAAGTACAGGTATTTGGGTTCAACATGTGAGAAGTAGAAAGTACGGGTATTAGTGTTCAAACATGTAAGAAGTAGAAAGTACAGGTATTTGTGTTCAACATGTAAGAAGTAGAAAGTACAGGTATTTGTGTTCAACATGTAAGAAGTAGAAAGTACAGGTATTTGAGTTCAACATGTAAGAAGTAGAAAGTACAGGTATTTGTGTTCAACATGTAAGAAGTAGAAAGTACAGGTATTTGTGTTCAACATGTGAGAAGTAGAAAGTACAGGTATTAGTGTTCAAACATGTAAGAAGTAGAAAGTACAGGTATTTGTGTTCAACATGTAAGAAGTAGAAAGTACAGGTATTTGGGTTCAACATGTAAGAAGTAGAAAGTACAGGTATTTGTGTTCAACATGTAAGAAGTAGAAAGTACAGGTATTTGTGTTCAAACATGTAAGAAGTAAAAAGTACAGGTATTTGAGTTCAACATGTAAGAAGTAGAAAGTACAGGTATTTGTGTTCAACATGTAAGAAGTAGAAAGTACAGGTATTTGTGTTCAACATGTAAGAAGTAGAAAGTACAGGTATTTGTGTTCAACATGTAAGAAGTAGAAAGTACAGGTATTTGTGTTCAACATGTAAGAAGTAGAAAGTACAGGTATTTGTGTTCAACATGTAAGAAGTAGAAAGTACAGGTATTTGTGTCAACATGTAAGAAGTAGAAAGTACAGGTATTTGTGTTCAACATGTAAGAAGTAGAAAGTACAGGTATTTGGGTTCAACATGTAAGAAGTAGAAAGTACAGGTATTAGTGCTCAAACATGTAAGAAGTAGAAAGTACAGGTATTTGTGTTCAACATGTAAGAAGTAGAAAGTACAGGTATTTGTGTTCAAACATGTAAGAAGTAGAAAGTACAGGTATTTGAGTTCAACATGTAAGAAGTAGAAAGTACAGTATTGTGTTCAACATGTAAGAAGTAGAAAGTACAGGTATTTGTGTTCAACATGTAAGAAGTAGAAAGTACAGGTATTTGTGTTCAACATGTAAGAAGTAGAAAGTACAGGTATTGTGTTCAACATGTAAGAAGTAGAAAGTACAGGTATTTGAGTTCAACATGTAAGAAGTAGAAAGTACAGGTATTTGTGTTCAACATGTAAGAAGTAGAAAGTACAGGTATTTGTGTTCAACATGTAAGAAGTAGAAAGTACAGGTATTTGAGTTCAACATGTAAGAAGTAGAAAGTACAGGTATTTGTGTTCAACATGTAAGAAGTAGAAAGTACAGGTATTTGTGTTCAACATGTAAGAAGTAGAAAGTACAGGTATTTGTGTTCAACATGTAAGAAGTAGAAAGTACAGGTATTTGAGTTTAACATGTGAGAAGTAGAAAGTACAGGTATTAGTGTTCAACATGTGAGAAGTAGAAAGTACAGGTATTTGGGTTCAACATGTAAGAAGTAGAAAGTACAGGTATTAGTGTTCAACATGTGAGAAGTAGAAAGTACAGGTATTTGTGTTCAACATGTAAGAAGTAGAAAGTACAGGTATTTGAGTTCAACATGTAAGAAGTAGAAAGTACAGGTATTTGTGTTCAACATGTAAGAAGTAGAAAGTACAGGTATTTGTGTTCAACATGTAAGAAGTAGAAAGTACAGGTATTTGTGTTCAACATGTAAGAAGTAGAAAGTACAGGTATTTGAGTTCAACATGTAAGAAGTAGAAAGTACAGGTATTAGTGTTCAACATGTGAGAAGTAGAAAGTACAGGTATTTGGGTTCAACATGTAAGAAGTAGAAAGTACAGGTATTAGTGTTCAACATGTGAGAAGTAGAAAGTACAGGTATTTGGGTTCAACATGTGAGAAGTAGAAAGTACAGGTATTTGTGTTCAACATGTAAGAAGTAGAAAGTACAGGTATTAGTGTTCAAACATGTAAGAAGTAGAAAGTACAGGTATTTGTGTTCAACATGTAAGAAGTAGAAAGTACAGGTATTTGTGTTCAACATGTAAGAAGTAGAAAGTACAGCTATTTGGGTTCAAAATGTAAGAAGTAGAAAGTACAGGTATTAGTGTTCAACATGTAAGAAGTAGAAAGTACAGGTATTAGTGTTCAAACATGTAAGAAGTAGAAAGTACAGGTATTTGTGTTCAACATGTGAGAAGTAGAAAGTACAGGTATTAGTGTTCAAACATGTAAGAAGTAGAAAGTACAGGTATTTGTGTTCAACATGTAAGAAGTAGAAAGTACAGCTATTTGGGTTCAAAATGTAAGAAGTAGAAAGTACAGGTATTAGTGTTCAACATGTAAGAAGTAGAAAGTACAGGTATTAGTGTTCAAACATGTAAGAAGTAGAAAGTACAGGTATTTGAGTTCAACATGTAAGAAGTAGAAAGTACAGGTATTTGTGTTCAACATGTAAGAAGTAGAAAGTACAGGTATTTGTGTTCAACATGTAAGAAGTAGAAAGTACAGGTATTTGTGTTCAACCTGTAAGAAGTAGAAAGTACAGGTATTTGAGTTCAACATGTAAGAAGTAGAAAGTACAGGTATTTGTGTTCAACATGTAAGAAGTAGAAAGTACAGGTATTAGTGTTCAACATGTAAGAAGTAGAAAGTACAGGTATTTGGGTTCAACATGTGAGAAGTAGAAAGTACAGGTATTTGGGTTCAACATGTGAGAAGTAGAAAGTACAGGTATTTGTGTTCAACATGTAAGAAGTAGAAAGTACAGGTATTTGGGTTCAACATGTGAGAAGTAGAAAGTACAGGTATTAGTGTTCAAACATGTAAGAAGTAGAAAGTACAGGTATTTGTGTTCAACATGTAAGAAGTAGAAAGTACAGGTATTTGTGTTCAACATGTAAGAAGTAGAAAGTACAGGTATTTGGGTTCAACATGTAAGAAGTAGAAAGTACAGGTATTAGTGTTCAAACATGTAAGAAGTAGAAAGTACAGGTATTTGTGTTCAAACATGTAAGAAGTAGAAAGTACAGGTATTTGTGTTCAACATGTAAGAAGTAGAAAGTACAGGTATTTGTGTTCAACATGTAAGAAGTAGAAAGTACAGGTATTTGTGTTCAACATGTAAGAAGTAGAAAGTACAGGTATTTGGGTTTAACATGTGAGAAGTAGAAAGTACAGGTATTAGTGTTCAAACATGTAAGAAGTAGAAAGTACAGGTATTTGTGTTCAACATGTAAGAAGTAGAAAGTACAGGTATTTGGGTTCAACATGTAAGAAGTAGAAAGTACAGGTATTTGTGTTCAACATGTAAGAAGTAGAAAGTACAGGTATTTGTGTTCAACATGTAAGAAGTAGAAAGTACAGGTATTTGTGTTCAACATGTAAGAAGTAGAAAGTACAGGTATTTGAGATCAACATGTAAGAAGTAGAAAGTACAGGTATTTGTGTTCAACATGTAAGAAGTAGAAAGTACAGGTATTTGTGTTCAACATGTAAGAAGTAGAAAGTACAGGTATTTGTGTTCAACATGTAAGAAGTAGAAAGTACAGGTATTTGAGTTCAACATGTAAGAAGTAGAAAGTACAGGTATTTGTGTTCAACATGTAAGAAGTAGAAAGTACAGGTATTTGGGTTCAACATGTAAGAAGTAGAAAGTACAGGTATGTGTGTTCAACATGTAAGAAGTAGAAAGTACAGGTATTTGGGTTCAACATGTAAGAAGTAGAAAGTACAGGTATTAGTGCTCAAACATGTAAGAAGTAGAAAGTACAGGTATTTGTGTTCAACATGTAAGAAGTAGAAAGTACAGGTATTTGTGTTCAACATGTAAGAAGTAGAAAGTACAGGTATTTGTGTTCAACATGTAAGAAGTAGAAAGTACAGGTATTTGTGTTCAACATGTAAGAAGTAGAAAGTACAGGTATTTGGGTTCAACATGTAAGAAGTAGAAAGTACAGGTATTTGGGTTCAACATGTAAGAAGTAGAAAGTACAGGTATTTGTGTTCAACATGTAAGAAGTAGAAAGTACAGGTATTTGTGTTCAACATGTAAGAAGTAGAAAGTACAGGTATTTGTGTTCAACATGTAAGAAGTAGAAAGTACAGGTATTTGGGTTCAACATGTAAGAAGTAGAAAGTACAGGTATTTGTGTTCAACATGTAAGAAGTAGAAAGTACAGGTATTTGTGTTCAACATGTAAGAAGTAGAAAGTACAGGTATTTGTGTTCAACATGTAAGAAGTAGAAAGTACAGGTATTTGTGTTCAACATGTAAGAAGTAGAAAGTACAGGTATTTGTGTTCAACATGTAAGAAGTAGAAAGTACAGGTATTTGTGTTCAACATGTAAGAAGTAGAAAGTACAGGTATTTGTGTTCAACATGCAAGAAGTCAAAGTAGAAAGAAAACACCTTGTTTTACTTGATTTTGAGCATAACACTCAGTCTCCCACAATGCACCCTGTTTAATCACTGTGTGTCTAAACTAAAAAGAGAGGTGCAGGAATGAGTCCTAAAACCCTGACATGACTCAGCATGTTCACACTTCCTGTCCCCTTGTGTGTAGGTCAATGGTTTTCTGAATGTGTTTTTGGTTGTTCTCCTGAAATAAGAGAGTGTGTTTTTGTGTTTCCAGTCAAAGTGAGAGCGTTCAGTTTGAACCAGGAACTGAGGCCGGCCAATCGGAGCGTCTTCCTGACCTTCAAGGTGAGTGAGTCACCTGTAGATGAACTAAAGAGTCACCTGTAGATGAACTAAAGAGTCACCTGCAGATGAACTAAAGAGTCACCTGTAGATGAACTAAAGAGTCACCTGTAGATGAACTAAAGAGTCACCTGTAGATGAACTAAAGAGTCACCTGTAGATGAACTAAAGAGTCACCTGTAGATGAACTAAAGAGTCACCTGTAGATGAACTAAAGAGTCACCTGCAGATGAACTAAAGAGTCACCTGTAGATGAACTAAAGAGTCACCTGTAAAGAGTCACCTGTAGATGAACTAAAGAGTCACCTGCAGATGAACTAAAGAGTCACCTGTAGATGAACTAAAGAGTCACCTGTAGATGAACTAAAGAGTCACCTGTAGATGAACTAAAGAGTCACCTGCAGATGAACTAAAGAGTCACCTGTAGATGAACTAAAGAGTCACCTGTAGATGAACTAAAGAGTCACCTGTAAAGAGTCATCTGTAGATGAACTAAAGAGTCACCTGTAGATGAACTAAAGAGTCACCTGTAGATGAACTAAAGAGTCACCTGTAGATGAACTAAAGAGTCACCTGTAGATGAACTAAAGAGTCACCTGCAGATGAACTAAACAGTCACCTGTAGATGAACTAAACAGTCACCTGTAGATGAACTAAAGAGTCACCTGCAGATGAACTAAAGAGTCACCTGTAGATGAACTAAAGAGTCACCTGTAGATGAACTAAACAGTCACCTGTAGATGAACTAAACAGTCACCTGTAGATGAACTAAACAGTCACCTGTAGATGAACTAAAGAGTCACCTGCAGATGAACTAAAGAGTCACCTGTAGATGAACTAAAGAGTCACCTGCAGATGAACTAAAGAGTCACCTGTAGATGAACTAAAGAGTCACCTGTAGATGAACTAAAGAGTCACCTGTAGATGAACTAAAGAGTCACCTGTAGATGAACTAAAGAGTCACCTGGAGATGAACTAAACAGTCACCTGTAGATGAACTAAAGAGTCACCTGTAGATGAACTAAAGAGTCACCTGTAGATGAACTAAAGAGTCACCTGTAGATGAACTAAAGAGTCACCTGTAGATGAACTAAAGAGTCACCTGTAGATGAACTAAAGAGTCACCTGTAAAGAGTCACCTGTAGATGAACTAAAGAGTCACCTGTAAAGAGTCACCTGTAGATGAACTAAAGAGTCACCTGCAGATGAACTAAAGAGTCACCTGTAGATGAACTAAAGAGTCACCTGTAGATGAACTAAAGAGTCACCTGTAGATGAACTAAAGAGTCATCTGTAGATGAACTAAAGAGTCACCTGTAGATGAACTAAAGAGTCACCTGTAAAGAGTCACCTGTAGATGAACTAAAGAGTCACCTGTAGATGAACTAAAGAGTCACCTGTAAAGAGTCATCTGTAGATGAACTAAAGAGTCACCTGTAGATGAACTAAAGAGTCACCTGTAGATGAACTAAAGAGTCACCTGCAGATGAACTAAAGAGTCACCTGTAGATGAACTAAAGAGTCACCTGTAGATGAACTAAAGAGTCACCTGTAGATGAACTAAAGAGTCACCTGTAGATGAACTAAAGAGTCACCTGGAGATGAACTAAACAGTCACCTGTAGATGAACTAAAGAGTCACCTGTAGATGAACTAAAGAGTCACCTGTAGATGAACTAAAGAGTCACCTGTAAAGAGTCACCTGTAGATGAACTAAAGAGTCACCTGTAAAGAGTCACCTGTAGATGAACTAAAGAGTCACCTGCAGATGAACTAAAGAGTCACCTGTAGATGAACTAAAGAGTCACCTGTAGATGAACTAAAGAGTCACCTGTAGATGAACTAAAGAGTCATCTGTAGATGAACTAAAGAGTCACCTGTAGATGAACTAAAGAGTCACCTGTAAAGAGTCACCTGTAGATGAACTAAAGAGTCACCTGTAGATGAACTAAAGAGTCACCTGTAGATGAACTAAAGAGTCACCTGTAAAGAGTCATCTGTAGATGAACTAAAGAGTCACCTGTAGATGAACTAAAGAGTCACCTGTAGATGAACTAAAGAGTCACCTGCAGATGAACTAAAGAGTCACCTGCAGATGAACTAAAGAGTCACCTGCAGATGAACTAAAGAGTCACCTGTAAAGAGTCACCTGTAGATGAACTAAAGAGTCACCTGCAGATGAACTAAAGAGTCACCTGCAGATGAACTAAAGAGTCACCTGTAAAGAGTCACCTGTAGATGAACTAAAGAGTCACCTGTAGATGAACTAAAGAGTCACCTGTAGATGAACTAAAGAGTCACCTGAAGATGAACTAAAGAGTCACCTGTAGATGAACTAAAGAGTCACCTGTAAAGAGTCACCTGTAGATGAACTAAAGAGTCACCTGTAGATGAACTAAAGAGTCACCTGCAGATGAACTAAAGAGTCACCTGTAGATGAACTAAAGAGTCACCTGTAGATGAACTAAAGAGTCACCTGTAGATGAACTAAAGAGTCACCTGCAGATGAACTAAAGAGTCACCTGTAGATGAACTAAAGAGTCACCTGCAGATGAACTAAAGAGTCACCTGTAGATGAACTAAAGAGTCACCTGTAGATGAACTAAAGAGTCACCTGTAAAGAGTCACCTGTAGATGAAATAAAGAGTCACCTGTAGATGAACTAAAGAGTCACCTGTAGATGAACTAAAGAGTCACCTGTAAAGAGTCACCTGTAGATGAACTAAAGAGTCACCTGTAGATGAAATAAAGAGTCACCTGTAGATGAACTAAAGAGTCACCTGTAAAGAGTCACCTGTAGATGAAATAAAGAGTCACCTGTAGATGAACTAAAGAGTCACCTGCAGATGGACTAAAGAGTCACCTGTAGATGAACTAAAGAGTCACCTGTAGATGAACTAAAGAGTCACCTGTAGATGAACTAAAGAGTCACCTGTAGATGAACTAAAGAGTCACCTGTAGATGAACTAAAGAGTCACCTGCAGATGAACTAAAGAGTCACCTGTAAAGAGTCACCTGCAGATGAACTAAAGAGTCACCTGTAGATGAACTAAAGAGTCACCTGTAGATGAACTAAAGAGTCACCTGCAGATGAACTAAAGAGTCACCTGTAGATGAACTAAAGAGTCACCTGTAGATGAACTAAAGAGTCACCTGTAAATGAACTAAAGAGTCACCTGTAGATGAACTAAAGAGTCACCTGTAGATGAACTAAAGAGTCACCTGCAGATGAACTAAAGAGTCACCTGTAAATGAACTAAAGAGTCACCTGTAAAGAGTCACCTGTAGATGAACTAAAGAGTCACCTGTAGATGAACTAAAGAGTCACCTGCAGATGAACTAAAGAGTCACCTGTAGATGAACTAAAGAGTCACCTGTAGATGAACTAAAGAGTCACCTGTAAAGAGTCACCTGTAGATGAACTAAAGAGTCACCTGTAGATGAACTAAAGAGTCACCTGCAGATGAACTAAAGAGTCACCTGTAGATGAACTAAAGAGTCACCTGCAGATGAACTAAAGAGTCACCTGTAGATGAACTAAAGAGTCACCTGTAGATGAACTAAAGAGTCACCTGTAGATGAACTAAAGAGTCACCTGTAGATGAACTAAAGAGTCACCTGCAGATGAACTAAAGAGTCACCTGTAGATGAACTAAAGAGTCACCTGTAGATGAACTAAAGAGTCACCTGCAGATGAACTAAAGAGTCACCTGTAGATGAACTAAAGAGTCACCTGTAGATGAACTAAAGAGTCACCTGCAGATGAACTAAAGAGTCACCTGTAAAGAGTCACCTGTAGATGAACTAAAGAGTCACCTGTAATGAGTCACCTGTAGATGAACTAAAGAGTCACCTGTAAAGAGTCACCTGTAACTGATTGATTTCTCTCTGACTCCCCAATAGGACCCGGATCGTACCACAGTGGACATCGTGGAAATGATCGATGTCAACAATGGGATCCCCTCGATGCAAAACCCCTTCAAGATCCCCATTAAACCAAAGTAAGAGATAATAATAATAACAATAATAATAATAATAATAATAATAGACTTTATTTGTACAAAGCAGCCCAAAGTGTTTTACAGAACATAACAGCAATATTCAAATAAATAGAGAACAAGATAAAATAATCTGATCATAAGTTATATATATATATATATATATATATATAACATATAAATAACATATATATATATATGTTATTTAAGATGATTTCAACGTCTTTTGGATCCCAGTCATCTGTTTCTGGAGCTCACCAGTAGAAAAGGAAAGCCCATCCTTTGAGCAACTTGTTTCCTGAAGTCGGCCTTTAACACATGAAAACACAGGAAGCCGTTTCCACGCTGGACTCACAGCTGGACTCAAGTGGTCTTTTGTCCTCTGTGAAGGCAAACTATTTGTGGTCTACCGTCCATCCGTCCCATTGTCACAATATCACAGGAACACATGCAGTTTCATTCAAACATCCACTGGATTTGAAGATTTTAAATAAAGTTTTCAGATACATTGGGAATATAACACTGAGTGGAATCACATTTTTTACTTTTTTAATGCTGTTTTATTTCAATTTGAGATGTTTACATTTTGGATTGTTTATTTCTAGGCTTTTAATTTCTCTAATGTTCAATGTCTTGTCTTTTTATTCTGCAACGCAAACATTTCCTTATCTTACCTTACCTTACCTTATCTTACCTTATCTTATCTTACCTTACCTTATCTTATCTTACCTTATCTTACCTTATCTTACCTTATCTTATCTTACCTTACCTTATCTTATCTTACCTTATCTTATCTTATCTTATCTTATCTTATCTTATCTTACCTTATCTTACCTTATCTTACCTTATCTTATCTTACCTTATCTTATCTTACCTTATCTTACCTTATCTTACCTTATCTTACCTTATCTTACCTTATCTTATCTTATCTTATCTTATCTTACCTTATCTTACCTTATCTTATCTTACCTTATCTTACCTTATCTTACCTTATCTTATCTTACCTTATCTTACCTTATCTTACCTTATCTTACCTTATCTTATCTTACCTTATCTTATCTTACCTTATCTTACCTTATCTTACCTTATCTTACCTTATCTTACCTTATCTTATCTTATCTTATCTTATCTTACCTTATCTTACCTTATCTTATCTTACCTTACCTTATCTTATCTTATCTTACCTTATCTTACCTTATCTTACCTTATCTTACCTTATCTTACCTTACCTTATCTTACCTTATCTTACCTTATCTTACCTTATCTTATCTTACCTTATCTTATCTTATCTTACCTTATCTTATCTTATCTTACCTTATCTTATCTTACCTTATCTTACCTGATCTTATCTTACCTTATCTTATCTTATCTTATCTTACCTTATCTTATCTTATCTTATCTTACCTTATCTTACCTTATCTTACCTTATCTTACCTTATCTTACCTTATCTTATCTTATCTTACCTTATCTTACCTTATCTTATCTTACCTTATCTTACCTTATCTTATCTTATCTTACCTTATCTTATCTTACCTTATCTTACCTTATCTTATCTTATCTTACCTTATCTTATCTTACCTTATCTTACCTTATCTTATCTTACCTTACCTTATCTTACCTTATCTTATCTTACCTTATCTTACCTTATCTTACCTTATCTTATCTTATCTTATCTTACCTTATCTTATCTTACCTTATCTTACCTTATCTTACCTTATCTTATCTTATCTTATCTTATCTTACCTTATCTTACCTTATCTTATCTTATCTTACCTTATCTTATCTTACCTTACCTTATCTTACCTTATCTTATCTTACCTTACCTTATCTTACCTTATCTTACCTTATCTTATCTTACCTTATCTTACCTTATCTTACCTTATCTTATCTTATCTTACCTTACCTTACCTTACCTTACCTTACCTTACCTTACCTTATCTTACCTTATCTTACCTTATCTTACCTTACCTTATCTTACCTTATCTTACCTTACCTTATCTTACCTTATCTTACCTTATCTTATATAACATCAAACACAAGTTCCAACTACAACTTGTTGGAAAACACAAATGTCCTTGGGGACCCAATTTGGTGACAACGTTTTTAAAGTCTGTTATTGTTGTTAAAGTAGTTCCTGTCTGTCTGTTGTTTGTTGTTTACTTGTTTACCTGTTTGTCTCCAGGTTGGGGATTTGGTCGATTGAAGCTGCGTACTCTGATGATTTCACCACCACAGCGAGAGCAGAGTTTGAAGTGAAAGAATACGGTAACAGGAGAAAACATCAGAAACCATCACAGGAGGTCAGTATTAATGAACTCTTAAATGTTCATTAAAACCTGTTTGTTCCAGTTCTTCCCAGTTTCTACATCCTCGTGGAACCAGAGACTAACTACGTGAGCTCCGGAAACTTCAAGAGCTTCAACTTCAAGGTTTCAGCCAGGTGAGGAAACAAGTGTTAGAGTAATATACCATACCATATACTTTATTGTCCCCGTAAGGACATGTGTTCTGGACTCCGTCCTGCAGCTCAAATCAAATCAAATCAAAATGTATTATAAATCACAAGAAATGCCTCAAAGGGCTGTACAACGCAAACAACAGCAAAAACAAAACACAAACGCCATACAGATGGAGCATCTTATTTCAGACTCCAGCTTACTGCTTCCTGCCTACTACCTGCCAAAGACCAGTATCTCAATCACGACCCTCGCGTTTCAAACTGTCTGAAATAAGATGCTCCATCTGTAGCTTAAAAATTATAAAAACATTATACACCAACATAAGTATTGCCATGTGATGAAAGCATGAGACTGAAGTGATGCTCATGTAGATGGAAACTAGGGGATGGAGATTAGTCTACAAGGAAGACAGATGCCAAGAGATGGGTTTTGAGTCAACGGAAATAGCTTCGTGGATCTGAATACATTACAATACAGTTTTGCATACATGTACATATACAAACATAATAAACATACAAATACATACACATATCATCACTCATGCACATACTGACGCAGGCGACCTGTTGCACAACCCTCATGGCCAACATTTAAAAGTGTATTACATCACATGTGAGTGTTGAGACTCTCAAAGGACAGACTGTAGGCAGGAATGAGTGCTCAGCCTGAATGTTCAACCAGACGGGAGGAGCTGGGGGTCTGGGGTTGTTGGCATTATTATTTAAAGGTCACCTGTTATGCAAAATCCACTTCTTCATGTCTCTTCTTCATCAACATGTGTCCCCTCTTCTTCATGTCTCTTCTACATCAACATGTGTCCCCTCTTCTTCATGTCTCTTCTACATCAACATGTGTCCCCTCTTCTTCATGTCTCTTCTACATCAACATGTGTCCCCTCTTCTTCATGTCTCTTCTACATCAACATGTGTCCCCTCTTCTTCATGTCTCTTCTTCATCAACATGTGTCCCCTCTTCTTCATGTCTCTTCTACATCAACATGTGTCCCCTCTTCTTCATGTCTCTTCTACATCAACATGTGTCCCCTCTTCTTCATGTCTCTTCTACATCAACATGTGTCCCCTCTTCTTCATGTCTCTTCTACATCAACATGTGTCCCCTCTTCTTCATGTCTCTTCTTCATCAACATGTGTCCCCTCTTCTTCATGTCTCTTCTACATCAACATGTGTCCCCTCTTCTTCATGTCTCTTCTACATCAACATGTGTCCCCTCTTCTTCATGTCTCTTCTACATCAACATGTGTCCCCTCTTCTTCATGTCTCTTCTTCATCAACATGTGTCCCCTCTTCTTCATGTGTCTTCTACATCAACATGTGTCCCCTCTTCTTCATGTCTCTTCCACATCAACATGTGTCCCCTCTTCTTCATGTCTCTTCTACATCAACATGTGTCCCCTCTTCTTCATGTCTCTTCTACATCCACATGTGTCCCCTCTTCTTCATGTCTCTTCTTCATCAACATGTGTCCCCTCTTCTTCATGTCTCTTCTTCATCAACATGTGTCCCCTCTCCTTCATGTCTCTTCTTCATCAACATGTGTCCCCTCTTCTTCATGTCTCTTCTTCATCAACATGTGTCCCCTCTTCTTCATGTCTCTTCTACATCAACATGTGTCCCCTCTTCTTCATGTCTCTTCTTCATCAACATGTGTCCCCTCTTCTTCATGTCTCTTCTACATCCACATGTGTCCCCTCTTCTTCATGTCTCTTCTTCATCAACATGTGTCCCCTCTTCTTCATGTCTCTTCTTCATCAACATGTGTCCCCTCTTCTTCATGTCTCTTCTACATCAACACGTGTCCCCTCTTCTTCATGTCTCTTCTACATCAACACGTGTCCCCTCTTCTTCATGTCTCTTCTTCATCAACATGTGTCCCCTCTCCTTCATGTCTCTTCTTCATCAACATGTGTCCCCTCTCTTCATGTCTCTTCTTCATCAACATGTGTCCCCTCTTCTTCATGTCTCTTCTTCATCAACATGTGTCCCCTCTTCTTCATGTCTCTTCTACATCAACATGTGTCCCCTCTTCTTCATGTCTCTTCTTCATCAACATGTGTCCCCTCTTCTTCATGTCTCTTCTACATCAACATGTGTCCCCTCTTCTTCATGTCTCTTCTACATCAACACGTGTCCCCTCTTCTTCATGTCTCTTCTACATCAACACGTGTCCCCTCTTCTTCATGTCTCTTCTTCATCAACATGTGTCCCCTCTTCTTCATGTCTCTTCTTCATCAACATGTGTCCCCTCTTCTTCATGTCTCTTCTCATCAACATGTGTCCCCTCTTCTTCATGTCTCTTCTTCATCAACATGTGTCCCCTCTTCTTCATGTCTCTTCTACATCAACATGTGTCCCCTCTTCTTCATGTCTCTTCTACATCAACATGTGTCCCCTCTTCTTCATGTCTCTTCTACATCAACATGTGTCCCCTCTTCTTCATGTCTCTTCTTCATCAACATGTGTCCCCTCTTCTTCATGTCTCTTCTTCATCAACATGTGTCCCCTCTTCTTCATGTCTCTTCTACATCAACATGTGTCCCCTCTTCTTCATGTCTCTTCTACATCAACATGTGTCCCCTCTTCTTCATGTCTCTTCTACATCAACATGTGTCCCCTCTTCTTCATGTCTCTTCTACATCAACATGTGTCCCCTCTTCTTCATGTCTCTTCTTCATCAACATGTGTCCCCTCTTCTTCATGTCTCTTCTTCATCAACATGTGTCCCCTCTTCTTCATGTCTCTTCTACATCAACATGTGTCCCCCTCTTCTTCATGTCTCTTCTTCATCAACATGTGTCCCCTCTTCCTCATGTCTCTTCTTCATCAACATGTGTCCCCTCTTCTTCATGTCTCTTCTTCATCAACATGTGTCCCCTCTTCTTCATGTCTCTTCTACATCAACATGTGTCCCCTCTTCTTCATGTCTCTTCTACATCAACATGTGTCCCCTCTTCTTCATGTCTCTTCTACATCAACATGTGTCCCCTCTTCTTCATGTCTCTTCTACATCAACATGTGTCCCCTCTTCTTCATGTCTCTTCTTCATCAACATGTGTCCCCTCTTCTTCATGTCTCTTCTTCATCAACATGTGTCCCCTCTTCTTCATGTCTCTTCTACATCAACATGTGTCCCCTCTTCTTCATGTCTCTTCTTCATCAACATGTGTCCCCTCTTCCTCATGTCTCTTCTTCATCAACATGTGTCCCCTCTTCTTCATGTCTCTTCTACATCAACATGTGTCCCCTCTTCTTCATGTCTCTTCTACATCAACATGTGTCCCCTCTTCTTCATGTCTCTTCTACATCAACATGTGTCCCCTCTTCTTCATGTCTCTTCTACATCAACATGTGTCCCCTCTTCTTCATGTCTCTTCTTCATCAACATGTGTCCCCCTCTTCTTCATGTCTCTTCTTCATCAACATGTGTCCCCTCTTCTTCATGTCTCTTCTACATCAACATGTGTCCCCTCTTCTTCATGTCTCTTCTTCATCAACATGTGTCCCCTCTTCCTCATGTCTCTTCTTCATCAACATGTGTCCCCTCTGTGTAAAGAGACTCTGAAAGTTTCAGGAACAAAGATTCTCTCTCTTTTTGATCCATTTCTATAAAACCTGTCTGAAAATGAGCTGATCAGATTTTGGCCACTTGATGATGTCATCACGATGTGTTGTCTTGTGTAACCATTAGCCAATCAGCAACCAAGGTAACCCCTTATCACCTGAATCTCCTCCTAGAGCACCATTGAGTTCTTTGTAACCAAATCTCTCTCAGAGGGGCGTGGGGAGGGGCTCCTTATTTTCATCTGAAGTAACAGACAGAGAATCAGCACTTTGGAAACAGGGCTGAAACAGAGGGGATTATGGGTAATGCTGCAATGATCTGTTTGGTGTTTCAGCCAATCAGAGACAGGCTCTGTATATATCTGAGACCTGTGATATATTGATGAGAGACAGGATGAATGAGACTGAAGCGGTGTGTTCTCCCTCAGGTACGTCCACGGGGCTCCGGTGGTGGAGGGCGAGCTGTTCCTGCGTTACGGATACGTCAGCGGGACGAATCCCCCGGTCATCATCCCCAGCTCCGTCACCAGAGAGAGGGTAGGAGACGAGAACGCTGATATTTAAGGACTGTTCTGTCCTGGTCAAAACAGATCATATATTTGCGGGGTTATCAATAATAACTTAGATTTGACCTGAATTGACCGAAAACCTTTTTTTTTTTTCAAAATGTCGTATATTTTTTCAACTCTGACTTTTTTCCAGAATCAGATTTTTTTTCAGGATGTGTATATGGTAATGGAACAGAATGGTCATTTATTTTTGTAATTCTTACTTTTTTTCTCATGACCGCCAACAAAAGAAATCCCACACAGAGCAGAAATGACGAAGCTTTTGACCGCGTGCTAGTAGCATGGGGCCCTTTAGGGGGGTTCCCGACGTGTCATTGCAGTCTTCTACAGACATTAAAGGGGGTTTCATGTTGTCGTTGCTGATGTTGACCAACGTTAACAGCCGTCTTTGGGGTTTCCTTCACAGATAGAGAACTATTTTACATAGCCATTTCCATGTTGTCTTTTTTGCGGGCCCCCTACCGTCTGCAGGTTATAGGGTTTATCTACCGCTTTAAAATCAAAACGGCTCCACCAGTTAATCTGCTCAAAGGTTGCAGGTCTGAGAGAGACTCGTCCTCTGACCCCAACACGTCCCGAACAGAGACGATGAACGACCAATCAGATCAGAGATACAGGGTCCTGGGGTTTAATAAAGTCAGACTGAAGCCCTCCTTCCTGAGTCAATCCTCACAGTACAGAGTTTAAACTCAGATCGAATGTCTCTTATAGATGGTCTTTGAGCAGGTTTCTCTCAGTGTTTGTGAGGGTATGCTAAATGTTTGCGTACCTTGTTTCCTGTCTCAATATTTGTTCTTGTTGATGTTGCAAACGGAGCTGCTGTGATGCAAGTAAAGTTCAGCCTCGGTCTGAAAGTCAATTATTATCGTATATTGATCAAATGAACATCAGACCGTCTGTTTACTTGGGTGAATGTGTGTGTCCATGGATCTGCTGTGTGTGTGTCCATAGATCTGATGTGTGTGTGTGTGTGTCCATGGATCTGATGTGTGTGTGTCCATGGATCTGATGTGTGTGTGTGTGTCCATGGATCTGATGTGTGTGTGTCCATGGATCTGATGTGTGTGTGTGTCCATGGATCTGATGTGTGTGTCCATGGATCTGATGTGTGTGTGTGTCCATGGATCTGATGTGTGTGTCCATGGATGTGATGTGTGTGTGTGTGTCCATGGATCTGATGTGTGTGTGTCTATGGATCTGATGTGTGTGTCCATGGATCTGATGTGTGTGTCCATGGATCTGATGTGTGTGTCCATGGATCTGATGTGTGTGTGTCTTTCAGTTGTCCTCGGCAGGCGATCTGGACGTGACGGTGAACATGGAGAAAGTTCTGTCCAAACACGACGGACCCAGAGACCTGGACAGTCTGGTGGGGAAGTATCTGTACATCGCCGTGCTGCTGCAGGAGGACACAGGTTCAAATCCCTTTCATCCAGTCTGTCCCTCAAACACACACACCCAGAAAACTAATAGGATTAGTTGTTTCACTGACTTTTCTGACTTTTTCTGAGAACTCTCACTTTGTTTTTGACTTGATTCTATTGCAGAATGTTAATTTATTTATGTGTGTGTGTGTGTGTGTGTGTGTGTGTGTGTGTGTGTGTGTGTGTGTGTGTGTGTGTGTGTGTGTGTGTGTGTGTGTGTGTGTGTGTGTGTGTGTCAGGTGGGATCACTCAGGAGGCGGAGTTTGCTGCAGTGAAGTTCCTAAAGTCTCCGTACAGACTGAGCCTGGTGTCCACGCCCCCCTTCATCAAACCTGGACTCCCCTATAACATCCAGGTGAGGTGACTTTAACATATAACCAGTTACACTTCAAACATGTGATCAGTTTAATAAAAGGCCTCAACGTCTTCCCGTACATTTAAATCTTACCGGTCACGTTGAACGGAAACCCTGGTCGCTCGGTTCAGAGACCCAGTGACCTCTGACCTCTGCGTCTCCCTGCAGGTGGTGGTGAAGGATCACCTGGACCAACCGGTGAACAGCGTCAAGGTGCGCCTGGTGGAGAGGCAGCTGTTCAAAAAGGGGGGGGCGAGCGAGGATCTGCCCTGCACCCTGAGCTCCGTCAGCCAATCAGACGGCATCGCTATGTTCATCTGCAACACGCCGCGCGAGGGGGTCCGGGCGCTGCTGAAGGTCAGGGGTCAACGTTTACTAAAAACACCACAACTCTCTTTTACACTCATCGTTTATTTATGTGTTGTAAACCTGTTGTTGTTTACTTGGGTTTGCTGTTTCAACGTGTTGATTTTCACATGTAATTTATTTGCAGCTGTCTTCTTTTCTTCCTGTTGTCTCCTTGTTTTTCATATTAAACCTGCTGTTGTTGACTTCTTTGTCCTCTGTTGTGTTCACAGTTTCAGACGGAGGACACGACCCTCCCAGCAGCCTCTCAGGCGCTCCTGGTCCTCGATGCGTTGGCCTTCCACTCCCCGAACCAGCGCTACCTGCACATTGACCCCCCGATGCCGGGCAGCAGCCTGGAGGCCGGGCACTTCTGCAACATCAAGGTGTACTCTGCCTCGCCCTCCTACGTTCCAATCAAAGCGCTCAGCTACCTGGTGAGGAGACCCTGCTGATCATATATTCAATTTCACACATTAATACAGGGATGTCATATTTCTGTGTTGGTCCCTGAAGGCAGCATCTCCCTGGACCAATAGGATTTCTCCATGTGATTTTGTCAGAAAATAGTCTCTGTGTCGAACAAACGTTTATGATACTTACACGTTTAGTTCAGCAGGATAATCTCCACATATTAACACCACGTTATGATTTCTGAAGTAAAAAGCTAATGTTTGGCTATAAAGGAACTACAGTACGGTCACATGACTTCACGTCACCACCGCTAAGCTAAAGGTGGCTAATGTTGGGCTATAAAGGAACTACAGCACGGTCACATGACTTCACGTCACCACCGCTAAGCTAAAGGTGGCTAATGTTGGGATATAAAGAAACTACAGCACGGTCACATGACTTCACGTCACCACCGCTAAGCTAAAGGTGGCTAATGTTGGGCTATAAAGGAACTACAGCACGGTCACATGACTTCACGTCACCACCGCTAAGCTAAAGGTGGCTAATGTTGGGCTATAAAGGAACTATAGCACGGTCACATGACTTCACGTCACCACCGCTAAGCTAAAGGCGGCTAATGTTGGGCTATAAAGGAACTACAGCACGGTCACATGACTTCACGTCACCACCGCTAAGCTAAAGGCGGCTAATGTTGGGCTATAAAGGAACTATAGCACGGTCACATGACTTCACGTCACCACCGCTAAGCTAAAGGCGGCTAATGTTGGGCTATAAAGGAACTACAGCACGGTCACAGGACTTCACGCCACCACCGCTAAGCTAAAGGCGGCTAATGTTGGGCTATAAAGGAACTACAGCACGGTCACATGACTTCACGTCACCACCGCTAAGCTAAAGGTGGCTAATGTTGGGCTATAAAGGAACTACAGCACGGTCACATGACTTCACGTCACCACCGCTAAGCTAAAGGCGGCTAATGTTGGGCTATAAAGGAACTATAGCACGGTCACATGACTTCACGTCACCACCGCTAAGCTAAAGGCGGCTAATGTTGGGCTATAAAGGAACTACAGCACGGTCACATGACTTCACGTCACCACCGCTAAGCTAAAGGCGGCTAATGTTGGGCTATAAAGGAACTACAGCACGGTCACATGACTTCACGTCACCACCGCTAAGCTAAAGGTGGCTAATGTTGGGCTATAAAGGAACTACAGCACGGTCACATGACTTCACGTCACCACCGCTAAGCTAAAGGCGGCTAATGTTGGGCTATAAAGGAACTAAAACAATATTTATTTATAAAATGTATTAATAAAAAAGCTGTTCACGATTTAATAATAATGATAATATATGAAAACGTTGCAAAACCCAATTAAAAACCTATATTCACTGTCTCTGCTGCAGGTGCTCTCCAAAGGAAAGGTGGTGGAATTCGGCAGTCAGAAGTTCGTCTCCAGCGACGATCACAGGCAGGTGCTGAACTTCCAGGTGACGCCGGCGATGGTGCCGTCCATCAGGCTGCTGGTGTACTACATCCTGTTCGGGGAGGGGACCTCAGAGCTGGTGGCCGACTCCGTCTGGCTGGACGTCAAAGGGAAGTGTGTCAACGGCCTGCAGGTAAAACAGATGTAATCTCTAGATCTCAGAAGGGATCCACAACTCAGATGCTGTGTCTTCAGTACATGTGGTTGATATTAGTATGTAGTGTCTCTACTTTAAAGAGTCCTCTCCTGCTGATGTTCAGGTGTATATGTAGTGTCTCTACTTTAAAGAGTCCTCTCCTGTT